ACTTTGTGTCGCTCATCATTACAAAAAAGTATGTCCTGTAAACCAAATAAATTCGTGAAAATACAAAACTGATTTGAATATTCCAATCGCCTTCAACACTCATTCAACTCCTCACGTACGGGCTCGGTATGTCATACCGACCCATGCAAAAACGTACGGTTCGCTTCAAAATTGAATATTTCCGAAACTATGGCAGATAATACAATACCATTGGGAACTAATACCATTGGGGACTAATACCATTGGAAAGGTGAATACTGTAGCTCCAATTATATATTTTATTTATAATTTTTCATTCATCAGAAAATATGGAATAGTAAGAGTACTGAGCGTGTGGTAGACTTGATATCAGAAAGGCCCCGTACGTGAGGGGTTAAAATACTGCAAATTCGTACATTGAGTCGTTGAAGCGATTTTAGGAAACTATGAATGCCGGTAACAGTTCAAATATCCGACAAAAATAGGATTAAAATATATTTTAATCCTATTAGGATACCCTTAGGATACCTTTAGGATGCCCTGCTCAAAATGAAATCAGGGCGACCAAATCAGTTTCTGATTGAAGTGATTTCAAGCTGCCTGACCTGAGAAACATAAGTTTTAATCAGGTGTCACCTGATCAGTCGAACAAGACTACAGACGCATCATTTCTGATCCGACTTCAGGTGGTGTCTGAATGGAATTTCCACTCGGTTGACTGAACAAAAAAATATGATCCTTACCACCTCGTATGACCCTCGTGAGTACCCTCGCAAGACTGATGGTCTCGACGAGACTCTCGCCAGAAATCTCGCTCCAGAGGCAGTCTCATCTCAGCATCATCTCGATTACCCTTTTACAGTATCGTCGCGATCTCGTCTCGATAAACCGAGACGAGATGATGCTGAGACTAGTCTTAGCAGCCCTAGCGCCAACTTGAATAACCATGAGTTTGTGCCTGTACGAGCGTGACTGGATGATATACAAGTTATTCCACTGGGAGAGTAACGCATTTGCGTGGCAGTAGGTGGAAATACGTGACACCACGGGCGCTTTAGTCTCATTTTAAGTTGTACCTCTACACTCGGGAGGGAATGAAGCGTGGCAGTGTACACAAGAGGGCTCAACCCTCGGGGTAAAAAACGTTCGGTCGCACTCACCCCCCTTTAACTCCATTGCTTTACCTCTTCTGCACTACTGACCTACATTGAAATGCGAAACTCGAAATCACTCCATCCGAAATAGAAGACGAAAAAAAATCCCATGGACTGATAGACTGATTCATTTATTCCAAACTAGATTCGTTAACTGCTAACCCTGAGGAGGGCCTGAACTGGCTCAATGAGCAATTAAAGCGCCGACTTTTCTCGATTTTTTCTTGCTGCGTGCAAAATTATGTATGAAAAAATTTGTAAAAATTACAATGCCTAGTTCAAACCCTCTAGACTGGACTGGTAAGATTCCTATCCCTTGAAAATCCCATGAATACCATGAAAAATAGTGATTTAGTGAGACTGGGACGGAAAAGCGGCGGCTCGTCGCCAGGAGCCAGTGGACTCGTGTAGTCGGTTTTTAGCCGCGCTGCTGCCACGTCGTTCGTTTCAGTTCAGACATACTAGGAAAGTCAACATCTCTATTACGTGCCGCGTTTGGTGTCTCATAAAAAAACGCGAATTTTTTTTTTTAGAGCATAAATGGTATTTAATTCGAGAAAAATGGGTGCAATGAGGATTTTTATTCACCTACTAGGGGGCTACGCCCCCTGCTCGCTCCGCTCGCCAACCCCGGTGGGGGGGCTTCCCCCCCCCCCCCTCGCTTCGCTCGCTCCGCCCTCCCGGTGGAGCGAGTGGGTGTGAGGGAGAGTTTTTCCGATAGCTCTATACATACTTTACCATAAAAGGCCACATACATATAATTCCCACCCATTAATGGGCACCCCGATATATAGGCACCCCCATATATAGGCAGCCTNGACCCGGGTTCGATTCCCGGCTGGGTGAAGCAGAAATTTTTTTTCTCTCTAAATTCTAATTCTCTTAGAATTGGGCATGCGCCCATATATGGGCAACCCCTTTAAAACCCCCATGACCCTTATGACCCTTACCACCCCTATGACCCTCGTGACTCTTAGTACTTCTATGACCCTCGTGACCTTTGAGACCCCCGTGACCCTTATCACCCTTAGCCCGTCTATGACCCTTATGACCCTTAACACCCCTGACCCTTAGCACTTCTCTGACCCTCGTGATCCTTATGTCCCTTAGCACCTCTATGACCATCGTGACCCTTATAGCTCGTAGCTCCTCTACGACCCTTATGACCCTTAGCACCCCTATGACCCTTATCTATATTAAGGATCACGATGACCTTCGTGACCCTTAAGACCCTTAGTATATCTGTGACCCTCGTGGCCCTCATAACTCTTAGCCCCTCTATGACCCTTATGACCCTTAGCACCCCTATGACCCTTATGACCTTTAGGGCCCCTATGACCCTTGAGACCCTCGTGCCCCTTACGACCCTTAGCCTCTATAACCTTTATGACCTTTAACATCCCTATGACCCTTAGCACCTCTATGACCCTCGTAACCATTATGTCCCTTACCACCTCTATGACCCTCGTGACCCTTATGACGCTTAGCCCCTCTATGACCCTTATGATTCTTAACACCCCTATGAGCCTTAGCACCTCTATGACCCTCGTGACCCTTATGACCCTTAGCACATTTATGACCCTCGTGACCCTCATGACTCTTGGCCCTTCTATGACCCTTATGATCCGTAGCACCTTTATCCTATATTTATTAGGATAAGTCTTAAGTATTAAGCATGTCTTAACTGAAGTCGATTTGGAATTTTATAATATAGAGAGATAGGGCTCCAATATGGCAACACCGCGCTAACCGTAATACGGGCGACACCTTGCTCACCGAGCCAGTGGACTCGGGTGGGCACCAAACACCAGTTCAGGAGGGTTAACTAATGGTAGAGTTGAATATGACCAAATGAATATTCGTTAATAGTTAACGAATGGTTCAATTGAAAGGTGAAAGTCGAGTCATACAGTCGGGGCTCCTCAAGTGTCTATTTGTTAACTATTAACGAATGAACATTTGGTGAGGCCGAATAGATCCTCGCCTCCAACCAAGTCCATTCGTTAACAATAACTAATCATTTCTATCAGTGTATAGGATTTCTCTGATTCCTACTTCTTTGTTACAAAGGTCACTCCAGAAACGTGATATCATTTTTATGGAATATCAATGAAAAAAATTGTCCCAATTTATTTCTCTATTTTATTTTGGTGAAAAAATTCTCTATTTTTTTTTCTTAGCAAAAAGAAAGAATAAAAAAAATTTTCACTTCAATTTCACGGAAATATGAATCAGCAAATTTAAGCAGATCCATCTGTTCGATTTTCCGTAGGTAGTGATGACCCCTTTCCTAGAAATAGTTTCTCCAGCAAAAGCCCTTTCCGCCTACGGTCTCTTATTAAATGTGGCGATTTATCGCCAGTAATAACGGGTGCGGTCTGGCGGGTGCTCTCGCAATGTCTCTTATGCTAGAGTGTGCTAGTATAACTTGACATGTATGAGGGAACAGAGTATAACTGAAACGGTTATACTGAGGAAACTCAACTTGTGTTATGTACGATGGTATTCAGGAGATTTAACAATTCCTCACTTCTTTTATTGAGAAAAATCCACGTTAAAAAGTTCATTGGGTATGAATTGAGAATTCATTTCTTTTTTTTTCAGGGACTGTCATAAAAAGTATACATAGAGAATGATGAGTATGAAATAAACTCTGTTTTATTTTGTTTCTTTAAATTTCAATTTGTGTGATGACAATCATCCGGAAAAATCACTGGATCGACAAAGAACATGCCATGTGATTAACAATTAGGAAAATGGAGGCATTGTCTGAAAATTACCGCTCCACCTCCCTGTAAATGGCTTAATTAATGAATTGATAATTAATTCAGGACTAATATAAGGCTTCAATATACCATGAAAGTGTACCGAACTTTTTAATTTCAACTACCAACTAGACCTTGCGTCATTCCACATCTAAACAATTATCACTTCTTAACGATTTCCCTATGCTCTAAAAACTTAATGATAAAGTCACCTCCGATAAAAGGGAATTCAGCATATAAAAAATATCCTACGTTCGAGCACCAAAGTTGAATAGGTTGGGGGTATACAAAAAAACGTTGGTCGAATCGAAAGCGAAAGTAGTAGCACAAAGTGGATGTCGACTGAGATCTGCCGTAGCAGGTGCTTTCCCACGGCGAAAGCAGCGAAACACCGATGGATCATCGAATGAATTCCGAAGGCAGCAGGTTGATACATTTATCCACGAGGTCACCTGCTCTTAAAGGGGTTAAAACGACGCACGAGGGCATTATTCATGATACTGCTGCCTACAGTTGTCCATAAGTAATGGGCCCCCTCATGAATTAGTGAACGCATGACGATGCAAATGATGCACAGATTTCACAGAGGATCTCAGGACAAAACAAATATCCTAAAAGTATCATTTTCCTCGCTCTTCACTTTGATGCAAATACCATGAATTTATGAAAAATAATTAGAAGTGCATTCTAAGGGAGAAAATTAGTTGGCAACGAAGTGGGCAATGATTTCTGTGATTCTATAAGTAGCCCGGTGGCCTGGCGTAGTGGTTAAGGCCGTTGCCTCACAACGGATAGGTTCCAGGTTCGATTCCTGGCCGGGTAGAATGATGAGATCTAACCATTTTTAAAGTCTTGATCAATCGCCATATAGTCTCATCAGACTCGAAGCGATATAAAATAAGCATAAAAAAAAAAAAAATTCTATAAGTAGAATACAAACGTGATATTTCAAACGCTGTAAATTATGTTTGAGTCTCCCCTAAGAGATTCCTCCTCTTTTTCGCTTGGAAGAATGGAAAGGAAGTAACACGGCGATCAACAAAAAGCGCTAATTGGAAGAAACAAAATTTGGACTTCCAGGTGGTGGTTAATTGGCTACAAGTACGGGTGGTCTGTTATATTGTAATGTTACTTCTCTATCAATACTCAGCTTATCTATCATTATTGATTAGATAATTATTCAATAAAGCTTTTCAAAGTCTTCTATCTGTTTAGTTTGTATAATATGAGACAGAAAACCAAAAAATCCTTCTTCTAAATGAATGTTATGGTCCTAGGATCATTAGATCATTCTTGACGCATCAGCATCTGCTCGGTCTCCATTTCTCAATGCATTTCTTTCTGCTGATCCTTTAGGATAATTCCATTCTTGAATTTTTGCCGAACCGAAAAGGACGAAAATAACGAATGCTCCCAGCTGACAGATGATACTCAGCCAGAAGACATATCTCCAGCTTTCAAAAGTGTGCTATCAAAATGAAAACGAAAATTGATCATCAATTGTTTTCTGCAAAAAGACGATTGAAAATCATCAATATAACGTGATTAGCACTCACGCCCTTTTCATTTAATTCTCCCACAATTGCTGGCAGAATGAATGCTGAGATAGTTCCTGGTGTATTTGTTATTCCCATCAGAATGCCAGCGTAGTTTGGAGCCAAGTCGTTCTGATTGGTTAAGTGACCAACGAATATGGCGCCACAAATCACGATGCTGATCACCAGCATTACAGTTGCTCCGATTCTTTCACAGCCGGAGTAGGCAATTGCAAGCATGAGAATACTAGGCGGAATGCAGCCTTGACACAAATGAGTACGTCAGATTGATTGACTTGTTATTGGATGATTATTGAATGTTTTGATACTCACTGACGCCAACTGCTATTTTTCTTCCGTTCGTCTGGGACCAGAAACCTTTCTTCCTTCCCCAGTCGAGGAGTCTACCCAGGAGAGGGTTGGTTATAGCATTTATTAGGTATGGAGAACAACTAATGGCAGCATTCTGAAATAATTAAATCAATTACACAAATATTTTCCGCTGTAGCGTTTTGCTTCATTCTAATAGGGCTGTGTACGAGACGAGGAGACGAGATTTTGAGAGGTCTCGGCTCGGTCTCGGAAAAAATTAACAATTTCAATATCGTCTCGCTACTAGCCGATATGGTATCGTCTCGTCTCGCTTTGTAATATGTTGGTCTTGGTCTCGGTCTCGTTTCACTATTGAAAATGTATGTCACATCTCAGTCTCGTTTGGTTGTTATGTTGTTCGGTTTTCGCAAGAGGAGGAGACATGGTTTTTCAACAGACAACTTGAAGACTTTATGTCTTCAATGTTTGTCAGCACAAGATGAGAAATCCAAATAACTCAAGACTGCTGAGACGATTTCGCTCAAAATTCAATCAAAATTAAGATACCTAAAGACGCATCGACTGCAAATGAAAAATTCCAATATTGGATGTCCGGAAAATTATCTTTTGCTGACATTTTTTCGCACGTTTTACGTGAATAACTGAAGAATTGCCAAGACGATCGTTGGACAAAAATTTGACCACATACGTACACACAAACACACACACACACACACACACACACAGAGATGTGTCTTAAAAAAATTGTCAGGATGATTCGAAACGTCAAAAAAAGTGGATAAAGTCCACCGGGAGACTAGACCCAGTCTCGTGCGCAGCCGTACATTTTAACACAAAGACTCGCGTTGACCAGCGCCGACCGGAACACACAGACACCTGAGTCTCATACAATGTATGGATCGAAGGTAGTTGTACCGGGAAGAATAGTCAATTCACTACTTGACAATTCGTTCAACTTAATTGTTATTCAATCAATCGCGTCTATAAGCATATACAAGAGTAGTAGCATACCAGATGGTCGACGCCAGACTGAATTCGTATCGTAATCGGATGGAATATTACAAAGGTAGCGCGCGACGTGTTGTATGTGTCCGATCGAGGCTGGTCAACGCGAGCTCCTGTGTTAGGATGCAGCAAGGAGTGAGACTGCTATTTTTAAGCTTCATATTTATTTTAAATATAAAGTTGTTCAGTAGGTCTGTTTGAAAAGACTTTTTGATAATTAGAAAAGAGCATTTTTATTATCTTGATAGATTCTTTGCTCATGTCTTGGAAATTTGCAGCGGAAAAGAGGTTATCAGGTAATTCTCCCGCAATCTAATTCCATAATTTTCAACTCCTTTGGAATGTTTAGATATTCATGAACCATAATTCTATCAAAATTTACATAATGTTAACATACTTACACTCTTGATATCAAATCTCAACATCTTACTCATATAAAGTGGCAACTGCGTCAGCATAAAGTACCAGCAGAAATTACCAAGCGTATTGGTAGCGACAAGTGCCCAAAATGGTTTCGACGTGAAAATATCCCTCCACGGTATTTCGCTCTTCCCTGACTGAGGTTTGCGATGACCATAAGAGTTAACAATGAGTTCCCTCTCAGGCTCACTAATAATTTTCTGTGTCTCTGGATTATCAGCGAAAAAAAATGCAAACACAGCACACCAGACGAGAGGAAGGGCTCCATGGATATAGAAGACAGATTCCCAGCCAATATCTTTCATGATATTTCCAGAGGTGAAGATGGAGATGACAGTGCCAATAGATGTACCAGCATTGATGATGGCAACCCAAGTGCTTTTCTCTTCGTAGACAACCCATTTGCCAACAAGTACATTGACCACTGGCAGATTAGCTGCGCTTACCAAACCGGTCATGAATCTCAGGAAGAAAAGAACTCCAATAGATTCCGCTGCCATTGGTACCAACAGCGTAAACAATGAATTCAGAAGGACAGAAGTGAGCAGGACATATTTTGTATTGAACCTGGGGACAAACAGCAAAACATCCTCAACCCATGAATCACTGATAAATGAGTAGTTTTTGTACACTCGTTCCCCTCAAATCAATTCAATGAAATTCTATACAATTATTTAATGATTACGCACATGTTATATTCCCTGATTCCACGTCGTTAGCGATAGGGTAGGATTGATGAATTGGGTACAAACCTATCGGCAAAGTATCCCGCAGGGAACATGCCAGCCATGTAACCAGCAAAGTACAGGCTAACCACCAGTCCTTGTTCAAATGCTGACCAGTTGTAAGGGCCATGAATATCGAGTCCACTATTACCACTTGTACTATCTGTATTTTCAAAGTCTGGGCAAGTTTGGACCGCGGTACTCGCATCACTTGTATTTCTTACCTTCACCATTCCTATTATTGTTGTTGATATATTGACTTTTAAACCGTAGATTATCATATTTGCGATGCACAGCATCATCGCAAATGCAAATCTCACGTATCCCGCTGTAATAAAAGGGAGAAACATTTGAATATTTCTTAGTCTTGGTTCTGGATTGTTATGCATGGAAAACGAATAAGGAATGATGATAAAATTGAAATAGGAAATTTGCAAAATTTTTTCTCTATTACAAAAAAAAAAGAAATAGTCATTTGAAATCTTCAGAAATTAAAATGTTGATGGATCATGAAAAATGCTATCGCTTGAATAAATTGACTACATGGCACACAGAATAATTTTGCATAATTGAATAATTACAGGAAAGAAAAGATGATGCGAACGAAAAATGTTGGAAAAATATGATGATTTTTTTTCACGTTCTCACCCATGTTTGCTCCCTCAGTGTATTCAATCGTGGTCCTCTCAACGTGGTTCGCAGATCACTGAGACACAACAGGCGTCTTAATCTCTGTCATGATTAGCCTACGATGAACATAAACACAATCATTACAAGCGTCTACCAATAGCTACAGGGTGTTTTCTGTATTGATTCCAAAGTTCCTGTTACTATCCCCATAAAATTAATGAAAATCCGAAAAATATACATGAAAATTTTTCCTCAAACAAAACAATAAAACATTTGAACCATAACACAAGCTGATCAAACTCAGTACTCTTATCGCCCCCTTCGCTTCTGATATCCAATTAATTTTCTAATTCTACGTCACTCATGTCACAAAACCGATAATCTCAATACCATAACAAATCCACTGATTACGCAATTGATCTATCCGTCACTCCTCAGAGAATTCACGTCACTGAACGCGACGAGTGTCGTTGCCATCACGAATCGCTTGACACGTTATCTCCTATGCCGAGTTCTCCCCGAAGTTGGCTGACGCTCTTTTCATATCTTCTCCAGTGGGCGGGAACGACCGAATATCATCGAAGAGAGAAAGAGAAAAAAGAGTCAATAAAAATTTTAAAAAAAAACGCAATACATACGAAGAAGCTGGTTAATATTTACGCAGCATGGCTATCGGAATGTCAACGTTGTGAGGACGATAGAGAGAGAAAGTAAGATGATCAGCATATTGATACTTCAAACTGGTTATTCTGGCTATTTCGGTTCTTTAACCTTGGATTCTTTGGGGGCTCGTCTATTGCTCCTGGCTTTTGGCTCATCATCGCTATTTCCCCCGTATTTTTTTAATGCATAATAAATATCATTTTTTCTTCTGTTATTTTGGTTATGCCCCCATCGCTTATATTTTCGACTCATTCGCATCGGCCCGTAAAGTGACTTTCATTTTTTCGATTTCATTGCTCACCCCAACGGATCCATTCATTTTTAGATCGAAATCGGTGCAGTTCATTGTATGAATCAAACGTCAACGTCATTGGGGGCTATTAATATTGATATTCCGACCGACGAGAACCTACGGTACGCGCAGCCTGACCGCATTTAACGGATTTTTTAAGCTCTTGTTTTTTTTTCTCGCTGATATCTCGACGGAAACTAACGATCGCCGATGTGCGAAGGAGGATGAAAGTGTATTGGTAAGAGGCTCTGGTGGGGTTCAATTCATCATCGACTGCATTTATCGATATTGATCGTATTTGCCATTCTAATCGGTGTCTGTTTGAGTCTCCGGCGAGTTCACTCACTGGTGGATGTAAAAAAATGAGGAAATGACGGGGGAGGAGATTGGAGAAACGAAATGCTGGCTTTTTCTCATTGCACGCCTTAAAAGTATTACCAAGTTACGATGCACTTCGAGAAACCGAGTCGTTTCACTGAGTTTTCATGGTACACTTGGTGTTCGATCTTTCTTGGAGGAGTAGGGGAGTGAGATGGTGAAGTAGTGGAGAGGCAACAAAAGGGAAATGGTGAGGTCAATGGAACCGACCTATTACGCAATATGACAGTTTTAAACTTTTTCGGGGAAAAGGGAGTAACGGGAATCGGATTGAATTCATGAAATGCCATTTCACGTTATTACGAGGACAAAAGATTGAGGTTTTTGAATTGCAGATTTTTTTTTTGAGGGAATTGCTGACTGGGGAATTGATAGAAATGATTGTTCCCTGGTTCTTGTTGTAAGTTTTATAGACTAATGAGGAGTACTTGTTTCGGGGCTTTTGCTGAGAACAGCAATTGTTGAGAAATTGATAACTTATTTTATCGGTGCGAAAAAAATTTGTGGGGAATTATTGGAAGCTTTTGACAAGATTATGCTGATGGCTGTTATCGCTAAAACCTTATGACGGTGTGTTGAGGTTATTTACCTTGATAAAGATGGAGTTATCTTTTGAGTAAGAGTGAGGAATTATAAGCTGAAAGTCAACACGCTACTTGTGAAATAATTATCGTGAAAAGATTAGGGTCTTAATGAGGAATTTACTGAGGGTTTGCATACTGTTTGCGACTTGATTATTATTCAATTAGTGAAACATGCAGAATATACTCAATGGAATTCACGAAGTGAATGGAAGCAAAAGATGCAGAATTATGAGAAATCAAAATTATTGTCTACATCCATGAATGCGTGTTTTTAATTTTTTTCAATTCTATTTTTTTCGATTCTCTGAGCGAGATAAAATTTAAAAAATTGCAATAGAGGTGAATTTTGAAGCCTTCAGAAGCAAATTCGATTTATTCTCCGATAAATTGAAATCATAATTGTATCAGAGAGATCAAAAGTCACTAACTCTGGACCCTGCATGGGTCAAATTGCAAGGACTTAGACAAATAAACAGAGTTACACTATATACGCATCTTCCAATTCATTAGACTCTAAATACTACGCCAACAAAAACAAAATATAAAATTCTGTTCATATGTAAATACTTGGCTGAAGGCCCACGGGCGATGACTTATTCTGAGGGATCTACTTTGTATTTTTCTTGCAATAAATTCTGTTAAATTATTATTATTAAACAGAGTTATCTCCTTTATGTTGCTAAAAATTGCAATCCCCCAATCCGAATTGATTATTCGGAAATAAATAGACAATAGTATTTCATGTAAACGTTAACATGCGTCTACATATACAGCTTTTAAATATCTGGATTATTTGCCTGGGTACTCCGGATTTCCCCTTGGCCATTGGATTTTGTATGTTGTTTCATATTACCCTCTACTTTTTTCCTCATTTTTTGAGTCTTCCAGTAAGTGAATTATCAATCTGAAAATAAATCCCATCGGAGCCCGTGTCTAATTAAAACTGAAAAATCGATGTTCATATCAAGGAAACGATGTACATCTATTGACTGGAATCTACATAGAATTTTATACATTTTTCAAGCGCTTTCACATTGGACGATAAAAAGCGCTTGCCAGTTGAAAGGTTTAATTTAAATTCAAAATTCAAGAGAGGAGCTATAAATTTGTTCATTAACACCCAAGAGTTGATGAAAGACGCTGGTGAGGTCACGTTACTAATGCCCTTCATTAGGGAGTCAATTCTCGAGTGATCCATTTATTTTTTCCATGAAAACAATCAAACGAAAACACTTGAAAAATTTGAGCCGAGTAATTTCTGTAGAAAATATCTCAATAGAGTGAGTGTAGAAAAAGAAAATTCTATCAATTTTTTCTGTTGAACATTTCTATTGAATGACAACGCGCAGATAAGCTGAGGATTTTTCAATAGACTAGCCCAAAAACTAATAGAGAGTCCCATAGAAATTCAATAGAATTTTCTAATAAATTAACTAGGGTTTCCTTTGGAAATTTTTCCTACGTGATAGATGATAGGAAATGGTTTCTCGGTATTCTAACAGATTACTAATTGTGAATTTGATTCATTATTCAACGCAATGTTACCGATTAGCAATAACTGAAACTTGGGGGGATGACAAGTCTAATTTTATCACAACTGGTAAAGGAACATTTCGGAAAGATTAGTTCATATTTGAGGTTACGGTATCATTTAGAGCTGTCAAATGAGTGTCACTTTCATGGTTAATTGACTCCAATAGCCACGTATCAATACTCATTATTCGTATATACGATACTTTCATCATTTAAGGATAATCGGGCGTGGAGTAGGATATTTAAAAAATGCAGTCAATTTTATCAAGATTTTTTCACACATTATTAAATCCATTAAGACACCGTTTGCAACATTTGAGAAACACCAGAAGCAGGGCAACAACAAAAATGATTTTTTAAGTTGGTGCTTATACATGAAGTTAAATGGGTCAATGATAATTTCAGTATTTTTTCGCATTGCCGACTGGTCGATAATGTAGGGGAAATGCACGAGTTATCGATGTTTCCTTCAACCTCGTGTATAAGGAGAAACTTTAAAAATCATTTTTGTTGTTGCCCTGCTGCTGGGGGGTCTTAAATTTTGCATACGGTGTCCAAATGGATAGAATAATGTGTGAAAAAATCTTCATAAAATTTGCTGCATTTTTTCATTATCCTACTTTTCGCCCGATTATCCTTAAGGGAAGACTACTATGAGTTTTAAAAGTCACGGGCTTTTGAAATGAGATTTCTTATACATTGAAGATCGATTGTATATGTCTGAAAACGAATAACTAGTGCAAACAAAAATTGTTTATTGTTTGTTTATCCCGCAAACGCCTAAAATGTTGAATAGCCCGAAAAATGTTTTTGAAAGAATGGAAAATATATTTCAAATATTTTAAGGATAATTTTTCTGCCTATTTTACATGAATGGCGAAAATTTTTATATTAAACAAAACGAAATTAGCTGTGTAGAACTCGAATTCCAAAAAACAAATTCGTAATTGTTATTATAGATATTTTTTCTAAAATTTTGCGAAGAAAAACCTTCTGTAGCTCAAAAATTAGAGGCCCTAGCCTATTTTTAACATTCTAAGTTTCTGCGGGGCAAACCAACAATAAACAATTGATTTTTTTGCACTAATTATTCATTTTTAGACATATATAATCGATCTTCAATGCATGAGCAATCTCAGTCCACTAGCCCACAACTTTTAAAACTCATAGCAGCCTCTTCGTAATTGTTATTATAATAACGGCGGTTGTTGTAATTTACGGCGATTTTGAGTGTAATTTACGCTTCAACTTTAAGCGTAAAATACGTTTTCGAAAGCGTAAAATACGACGGATTAGGTCCGGACTTGACCGCGGATCCGGTTTTAGTCAAGTTGATGGATCAGGACTTGATCAAACATGTAACGCCTCATATCAATCCATATTTCGATCAATCCATATTTAATCAGGGGGGATTGATCTCAACTTAATCAAACCAAACACATACAAACCAGATGACCGGTCCACCGATATCAATAATAATTATTCACAATGTTCAATGCAAAACCAAAAATAATCAATTTTTTTCGCTGTCAATCGCTCTTCTTCCCGGGTAGAAATTCAACCGGGGATTCGGCCGCAACTCTGGTGAGCGCGAGCTCAGCCTCGGCTTGCCGCTTGACCCGAGTTCACGCCGCGACGCGCCGCTCCATACCGGCTCACAGTCGAA